TTTATTTTGGGTGTACTTCAACCAACATAGCTAATACAATCTTGTATAAAATGCTCAGTCGCGGTCGACTTCTCAACGTGTTTCCCTAGTAACCCTGATAGAAACGTGTCTCTTTTAGATCTCCTTTTTTACCTTTATCCCGGACTCATGTCGTGCTTTGCAGTCCTGCCCTCTTGGCAACTCTGATTATGCGGGTGTGCCGGTAAACCTCTCTATCCGTTCCACTACCAGACAAGAAACCCCTAACAACAGAATATCTTTCCGTTATCAAAGTGCGGATTGGGACTCGTGGAATTCAATTTTAATCATTCTATTCATAAATGCATGTCTGATGTCCCCTCCTGGACGAAAGCCGGCATCGATGCTTACATTCCAGCAAAGAAATACAAAGTTAATCCGCATTCATCACCTTGGTTTTCACGTGTATAGGCGACTGATATAGCCCACAGGAATCACTTCATCCGGCTGTACCAGAGCGTCACCTTTGATTGCAACAGACGTCTCTTTGTCTCTGCTCGTAACCAGTGCAGGCGTGTCCTCTAAGTAGCGAAGTTACTGTTTGCTGATAAAAGGAAAAATGTATAGCATCTTGTAAGTTCGATTATAGGGATTATTCTCGGCTCTCTAAGAATGTGCTGAACAAAAGCAAATCCCCCTTACGTCCTCTATTCCATAATTCGATGTCCTGACATCAACAGCAGACAAGGTTGAAAGCATTCTCTTCCAACTCAATACTCGACTCATTTGTAATACCCAAACCTGATTTCTGTCGTATAACAGGCTCGACTGAGTGATATGTGCATAAAATCGTCACAGGTCTCAGACATTATTTCTAAATTAGATTACCATGAGGCAAGGGGAGATGATAGGATTCCTGCCGTCGTCCTAAAGAGATGTGCTCCCGAGCTGACTACAGCTCTCTCCAAATTCTACAACTACTGCGTCGCTGCTTCCTACTTTCCAGCTATTAAAATTATCCTCTGTAGTCCCCATTTTGAAGATCTATGGAGAACCATTTGATCTCCCTAACTATAGGCCTACTAGTCTCCTACCGCTTTTCGGAAAAAGTATTCGATGCTTTAATCAATGCTGAAGTCGTTAAGAATCTTACTTCTAACGACCTCCACTCTAACAATATGATTTCCGTTTCGCCAGCTCTGCCGCCGATGTGTTTACGGCCTTCACTGAATATTTATATCAAGCTCTTGATAATAGCGGCGAAGCTCGTGCCGTGGCTCTAGATATCTCAAAGGGGATTGACAATGTTTGACACGCTGGTCTGCTGCGTAAGCTCCAAGACTACAGTATTACTAGACGAGTAAGTGCTGTAATTATTGTTTGTTTGTTTGTTTTTATATGATTTTCCCGCTTTAAATTTGTTCATGAAATATTTTTCTATCGTAATCCTACTTCAGGGACCTCATTATGGGTAGCATTGTGTTTCCCATTCGCACGGTTTCTGTTTTCTTGATTTTTAATATATGTCCAAGTTCAGTTGATTATCCCCTACAAAACCCGGTGATTTTTATCGAGGAATGGCCTTAGTCCCATTGTATAACTAAACAATAATAGCCAAGTATTTTATGAATTTTGGCCGTTTTGCTAACAAATTCATACTATTCAACGTTTTATTGAATGATTTGGCGCAAAGCAAACAATAGCTTATTTGTTCATAAAATCAATGATTCTATATGTGATTTTACCATGCCTTTTATATCAAATTTACAAATAAAATACTGTTTGAAATGCAATGTTTTGTTTTTTTTTAAATAAAAATAAATATTATTGCAATGTAAATGTTTGCTCTTTCCTTTCGAGATGACCTGCGCCTATTTTCATTACAAAAACATTCCTATTGGACCAGACGAAACATTGAAGGAAACAATTAAGTATAATCATTAAAAATATTAAAAAATATCAAGAGTTCATTTGAAAATTACAGATAAGAATTATGTGCATGTTATTACTAAGAGTCGATATGAAAACAAATGTGGGGTGCTGATGTCAAAGGAATATATTGGTTTCGTATTGAAAGTTTTGCTTACGAAATTATACTGAATTAGGAAAGCTATATAGTAAATATTGAATATTAGAAAAGTAATAGAACGGAAAAAATATGAGGAGGTTGAAAAATTGAAAATATTGTAAAAAAAAAAAAATTGTACGAATAAATTGTATGCTTTTTGTTGTTAATTGTTTCAAGTTCTCTATCTACACGTATACAATTGCCCGTTGGAGATAAACTCGCTACGCTAGGTGTCGCTGTTGTGGTTACAGTACAGAGTAGTATTTTTTTGTTGGATGGACATGCTAGGACTTGTCATAATGCCCGTATAAGCACGTAGTTCTGGTTAATAATATTCCAAGGATGTTATATAGAAATAAATATCTCTGCCGACAATCGAGTTTGAGCGATCCCATTATTACATTAATTACACCACGTAACCATATAGGAAACATATGTAGGAAGTAGCTGACGACTAACGATCGCATTTCTATTCTATCTTCTATACTACTGGAATCGCTATTTCTAGTCTATCCTCTATTACTATACGGAGCTCTATTCGGTACATTACTCACTATATTATTTCTCTATTCGAATCACGATACAGATTAATATTCGAGCGATATTATCGAGCAACTAATTTTAGTGCGAGTGCTATTCGAAGGCGTCTGACACCGGTATTTTCACCCCGTTAGAATTAATTAGAAATATACATCTGAGGAAGTTAGAAAACCGCATCAGCTGGCAAAATCAAGTACCTTGATAACTATTTCAATAATTCTGTTTTATTTTCAGAGGTGTGCATATGTGTTCAGATAATGTATTTGAAATGTCGCACACATTGTAATATGTTCAGCAATGTGATCTGATCTATAAGTATCATGAATAGCGTGATCAAAAGATAGGTTACACAAATTTAACATGTTTAAAGAAAGATATCACATCACGTGTCCGGTAACCCATTAGTGTCATGCGCCCATTATATCCACAGAAAAAAAAAATGCGCGTACCAAAGGCATGATAACCCGAGGGAGCATATCCCTCTTCAGGCTGGTTCTAAATCCATAGACTGGTTGAGAGAGGCCAGTGTATCCAAAGAAATATATCACTTCATGGTATTGCATTATATTACGAGTTGTGAATTTGAACATGAAATAAACTTATAATTGTAACTAGTAATTTTTGCACATGTTTTCCGTCTTTCAGTATCGGTCTATATTTCTGAGATGAGGTAGGGCACATGGCACAGTCTATAAAGGCGTTGGTTAGATCCAGTGACAAGACCCAAAGAGTGTGAGTTCAATACCCGGTTAAGGCAGTGCAGAACTTGGAGAGGGGAATTAACGGGAGATAACTGATAACTGGCATCCATTAAACATGGCAGGTAAAACTAGAACAGTCGACCCCAGTGAGAGAAATAAAGGGTTCAGTTCGACATTCCAACCACCTGAAGAAGACCGGAGCGTACAACGGCCGAAACGTTGTAATAAATATGGCAACAAAGATGAGGACAATAGTCCGAATAATGGAAATTCGGTTTTCTGTCTTTACTTTCTTTTTTTTCTACGCTCTGCATCTAGTCAAGATGTTCTGCGCCGCAACCGTTAACACTGTAAGAAATCAGGCTATTTTTTATTCAGGGTCTGAATAAAATGCGCTGTATTAATCCCAAAAATGATTTACGATTTCCTACTCTGTTATGTAGGAATAAAGTATCGCTGCCGAGACTTGAGTTTGAACATAGATCGCCAGAGAGCAAACACGGGCGATCCCATTATTGAATTAAGTGGATAACATGACCATGGGAGAAAAGTATAAGGAGTAGCTTGCTGTCTAATTGATCGCTATTTTTAGTCTATCCTCTATTACTATACGGATTGCTATTCTCTATTCTATTCACTATAATATTTCTCTATTCGGATCACTATACGCATTACTATTGTAGCGAGTATTATTGAGCAAGTGCTAGTGATATTCGAAGGTGTCTGACACCAAGATTGTTCAACAGCATACTATAGTTTTATTTGCGATTGCAAAGTCTCTACAACAAGGAGCATTACGAAAGTGAGATCGAGAATTCGTTGACATTACAAAAGTGTCAAACGAGTGCTCGTTGACATCAAAAAAAGGGAAAACACCTCAACAAGATATTTAGTGAAGAAACTGTTTAATTACGTGTAAAAATAGCAGCAAATAGTGTGTGCAATAATAAATGCAACACACTGAAAATATGGGACACCCACTGAGGATCGACCTTAATATTCAATCGTAATTGATCTAGCGAGACAAGCTTGCTAACTAGTAAACACCATTGAATTGTCCTTGATTTTCTAAGCGTAGCTTAGATGTGGCTCAAGGCCGAGAGCACATAGTGAGGTCAAACTCACTATTCAGTCGTAAGTGACCTAAAGAGACAACCTTGTGCCCCGACTACCACGAGTTGATATTTATTTCATAATTAATGGAAGAGACGATGTTCAACAATTTAGTTTAGAGTAGTTCGACTATCTTTCTGCACAATAGTAATCAGCTGAACTAGTTTTGAATTCAGAAGTGTTTTTCTCGTAGACTCGTTGCCAAACAAATAATGTTTTATCTTCCTTGCTATTTAAGCTAAATTTTAGATGTGCAGGAATCAAGCCATTCCTAACGGTATTTCTACGAAAGAGCATAAAAGGGTATCGACTGAAATTTAAACTAGACACGCCAGACCTATTTTTCGAGCCGATAACCATTACGTTACGCAACGCCCAGCCTCACGATTTGTTAAAACGAGCGAAAATTGTCAAGCAGTATTTTTGTGATCAAGTAATACGGGGACATTGCACTAAAATATGATGGAAAGAAAACAACATTTTGGGATTAAAATATTTCCAAGTTGCGTTCAATGTACATCCGTATTCTATTTCCACTTATGATTTGGATTGTCTCCCCTTAGCTGTCATTACGTGAAATGTGGTGGTCGGCTTATAATCATAAGTAGGGCTTACAGCAACACCGAACTGAAACATCGGTTCCCGTACGATCACCGAAGTTAAGCAATGTCGAGCCTGGTCAGCACCTAGATAGGTGACCGCTTGGGAAGTCCAGATGCTGTAAGTTTGTATGCGCGTGCGGTGTAATGGATAATGGCTCGCAATTGTTAATCGGAGAGCTGAGTTCCAATTCCCGTTGGTTTCCCATGGGTAATTACAAGTTAATATAACGAACCCAACTGAAATTGGAACTCGGCTCGTTAATTAGCAATTCAAAGTCATTATCTAATCCACCACCGACGCTTACAGCTCCTGATATTCGCCAGCGGTCACCAATCTATTTACTGACTAAGCTCGAAGTTGCTTAACTTCGGTTATTGTAAGGGAACTGACGCTTCAACATTATTAAGTTATTCTTGGCAGAAAGAATGAATAAACGAGAGATTAAAACGTAGACAAAGACGACTGAAAGGAAGAAATTAAGTAGAAATCCTCATATCCAAACTTCTCAGCTGCCATTCAGATGCAGTGGGAATATTCTACATTCTAATATTTTTATTTTATTTGCATATGATTGTTAGTAACATGAAATTTCTCAACTCATGTCTCGCACAGAAGAAACTTCAACTGGAAGAAAAAAGAAAATGAATCATTTCACGTTACGTTAGAAATTAGAGATTATTAAAAAAACTGGAGGAAGCTCGTAATTCGTTGAATTTGCAAATTAACAAACAACGATTACAGAATCTGAACGAAACACTGAAATTTGTGCACGAAATACTCTCACTTCCGATGAATTAAAACAATAAATAAATTATGACTAATGAATTACAAAAGAATTCAACGATGGAATCGTTTCAAAATTATTTGGATTGTCCAGAAAGTGGAAGAATCAAATCCTCCGATAATGGTGAAAATATGAAGGATGATGTTAACAACTGTGACTCGGTAGAGAAAGCTATTGATGAGGTCTTCAAATTCATGGAAAAAAAATTGGTCAGTCGTACGAAATGTACAAATGAACGCAATTACTTAAAAAAACAAAAAACAAACTAGAACGACAAAAAGTAAGTGAAATGATAAAAGACAATTGAAAAGAAAGCTTATTGAGCATTAAACATTAATATTTAATTTTTTGAGGCATTTACTTTTTGATATATTGCGATAAGTTCTTGTGTTAAGTTATATTTATGTCACATATTCGAACCCGTCCTCATATCCGAACTACTCTGAAGTTTGGATATGAGGACTTCTATATATATTCCAATAAACAGATAGACAAAATTGTAATAAATATAAAATCCGCCGGATCTTTGCAAATGACACACAGAATACTTTAGCACATAAACAGTAAAATGTACGGGGAGCATTAAGTATAAAAAGCATACAACCCAACTTTACATGTTATCAAATGTAGGAAGAAGTATATTAAATATATTTCATTACGTAAACGATACATGAAAAAAAAAAAAAAAAAACTGAAGCGGGAAAATGTGAAAGATTAAGAAAACGAAATGATGTGTGAAGACAAGATATTCGTAGAAAGATGAAGCTTACATTCCCAAAATAGATAAAAATCTACTGGGTTTTTGAGTACTCTTATTATTTTCCCTCCTTAATAATGTTTTTTTTTCCCTTATACTTTCACACTCAGTAACCCCTTGGGTCTTAGCGTATATACTGCCTTGAATGGGCTAAAATGCTTTAAAAAAAAAAAAAAAAAAAAAAAAAATAACACACCCACACAATACATACATATCGTCTCAACGTTATCTACATAAACCTTTGGTAAAAGTTTAGGGAAGCTGAACTTACGATCAAATTTTTACAAGAAACTAAGGAAGAGGACCAAAATATAGAAAAAAACTTCTTAACATAATTCTGTTAGTCTTTAACCAAACTTGTATGAATAAAACTCGACTGCCGAAATACTACCAGATCAAAATATAATACAGTGTAACCCGGATATAAGAGAAACCCGGATATAAGAGATTTTCCCTGGTCCCAAATTAGAGCCTGTGTTAATGTATATAAAATAGACCAAACCCGGATATAAGAGAAACCCGGATATAAGAGACTTCTTCTCCGGTCCCGACAACTCTCTTATATCCGGGTTACACTGTAATACTATTTAAAACAGGAGTCTGAGAGAATGGATATTCCAATCGGATTCTAGCACAGTTGCGTACTGGGCATTTATGTTCCGACAGTTGTGTACCAGACGATTGCGTTCCAAGATCAATGCATCCGTGGATAATTCGTACCTCTGATAACATTAAGATTTTAAATGCAATTATCATAAATTTTTAAAAAAGCATAGGTAGGAATCATAAATTTTTTAAAAAAGAATAAAATAAAAAAGAAATTAAGTTTATTTTTGTTTAAAATGCAATGACAGATTAAAAGAATTGTAAGACCGCTCAACATATCGCCAGTACGTTTTTGTTTCATCGGCGTTTTTCTTATGATAGTGGGCGCTGCAATTTTCCTCGTCTGCCATTTTTTTCCACCAGTGTTTGATTTTCGGAACTTAGCCATGGGTTCCAAATAAAAATATAATCTATAAAATCTATTATGTTTTTTTTTGTACGCGTTGCCGGAGTGAACTAAAACTGCTAGCTTAATTTTCTCTTGGTTTAAAAAAGAAATTCTTCTATCTTTTTTTTTTTATTTATGGTAGCTACCTTTCTACTTGTTTAGAGTAAATACAAGTATTGTTGAGCAAATTTCTATATTAAACATCTCTTAAAATAATAGTAACTTCAAAAAATTATCAGAGTTGTCCGAGACGCAAAAATCCAGTATGCAACTGTCTATTCACCGTTCCAATTGCCATCCATTGCACAAAGAAAGTGAAATCGAAGAAGTGTCGTTGAAATATGGTGTACATTTTATTGCTTTTTCTTCACTGTAGTACTTCGGTTGCAAGCCCCGAGAAAATAGGATCAAATAGTCAGTTGGCGTTAAAACACATCTCTTTCATTCATGCTCAACGCAGAAAAAAAAAAAAAATGATTCTTTTTACTTCTCTTCGTTCAGGTTGGTCAAACGGAATTCTCTCTGAATATATATATCTGTTAATATCTCTATAAATATCTCTATTAGATCATTTATGGCAACTGTAGAATCAGGTGTTAATGATAAAATTAAAACTAATTAATCCTGTATTAATTATAGATTTCAAAAATACAAAAAGTTATTAATTATACTTTTCAACCTATCACCCATTAATAATCACCTGCTATATCTTGAATGAGTGACGTTTCTGCATAGTCTGTTGTTTTTATTTATCTATCTAGCTTTCTATTTCCATTTATATATCTCTAAATGTTTTCACCTATATCGTTCTGTGTTGATTTTTGCTTCTTTACTTGACTGCGATTATTTATTTGTGCTTCTGTAACACCATTAAACCAAATATAAAATTTGGTATTAATTATTTCCATAAAATTAAACCTATTAATCATGGGTTTTTAAAAGTGTCCAGTATTAATTATAGCTGTGTAAGGTATTAATTATTACAATAAAAAAAAAAGAAAAAAAAAAACTTGCCTTAATCGTAGGCTTTTGCAATATCCGATATTACTTCAATGTTTTTAAAATATCTGATATTAATTATAGGTTTTTACCTATAAATAATACCGGATTCTTGTGCCTATGAAAGTTAATAGGTTAATATCTTTCTTTCTCTTTCGTTCATATGCATTTTTACATATTCTCTATAGTTATGTATCCATTATCTGCACTTTACCTGTCTTTTCGTACATATGCAAATCTACTTATTCATTTAATCATGTTTATTTAATGATAAATCTATCTTTAATATTTTAATATCTTTCTCTCTCTACCTCTGTCCATTATCTACATAACTATCTATTCATTATCTATCTTTTCGTACAAATGTACTTATTAACTTAATCTCTCTTATTTAATGATACGCAACAAAAGATTAACATTTGCTATTAAAAAATACGAGTAAAAAATAATCGAGTAAATAAGACAGCCCAGAACTGACGAAAGTTTTAAATCTCCTAGGAGTGAAATGAATATTTATTTACACAAGTGATTGGGGCAAATGCCATTCTTAAAAATCGATTGTCTCCAGACGCATAAATGTCAATTCTGAAATAAAGATTAAAATAAACTTAAGAAGTTTGAATTTCTCGGAAAAAAAGAAAAGAAAAAAAGAAAAACAAATTAGACGCAAATCTTTGCTAATCTCCTTTAGCAGGTTTAAATATTCCAAACTATTTGACTTTCTCTTATCTGAGTGGAATTTCTTAATGAAACGGATGAATTTTCTATGCTTGAACTGGAAGAGCTTTATTTTTTTTTTTATTATTTATTGTTGTCATCTCAACTTTGTTGAATAATTTGAGTTCACATTGATAGTGACTTCTCAATGTCTTGCTGCATTCAAATAAAGAGATACGCGTTGAAAGTTCAGGTGACTTACAACTTTAAAAATATATTAACCTCATGGTAGATATCTATTCAAAGACGACGAAAAGACGCTTAAGAAAAGGTAAAAGATTTAAAAAAATAAAGAAAAAGAAAACGGCCAGATACTTTCGTCAAATGACAGGAATTCGAATCTCCAGGAATCAGTAATATTGGTTTCTTCCCCTTATCTACACAAATTAACGGTTAACTAATCTTTCTTTTAGGCAAATCTTCCAGGACACGCCACACTATTTTTTGACTTCTAGCTTTACGCCATGTTATTGTTTGACTACTAGGACATACCACGCTATATTTTGACATCTAGGTTCACCTCACGTTATTTTTTTTTTTACTTCTAGAACGCGACGCACTATTTTTATTTGTAGAACACTCCACGCTACAATTACTTCCTGTACACGGTAGTTTAATCATACTCTGAGAAAATGCCACGCAATTTTGAGTGATTTCACATGCCACGCAACTTTTACAGCAAGAACGCGGTATTCTGCTTAGACGAAGTCGAATCCCATTATTTCCTCCGCATTCCAATTGTAAGGAATACATGCCACAAAGACAACTTTCCCCTAAGAACTGCTTTTCTTTGGAACATGCTTCCCCGTGAATTCTTCCCTGAAAACCACAACAATAACGGTTCCTAGTCAAGAGTTAATCGTTATCCATC